TGCAGTGCCACAATTAAGAGAGAAGGATAGATATTGTCTTTCTTTAAGGCTGAAGTCTTTAAAATTGTAAGATTTATTTATTTATTTAGGACATTTATATCCCATCCTCGACCTCCACAGAGGAACTCAGGACAGCTAACAACAACATAGATATACATATTAAATAAAAACAGTATAAAACATCATAAAAACATTAAAACAATCGCCGATTTGTCTTCTTAAGAACAGTCTATTAGGGTCCATTAAAACCATAGCTTTGCCATCAAATCCGTCTAGTCCACAAAGGCCTGATCCCACAGCCAGGATTTCACTTTTTTTCAGATAGTTAGGAGGGATGGAGCTGATCTGATTTCACTTGGGAGAGAATTCCATAGCCAAGGGGCCACCACAGAGAAGACCCTGTGTCTTGTAAGCAGTGATTGTGATGGTGAGGAGACAACGAGCAGGGCCTCCCCGGACGATCTTAAAGTCCTTGGTGGTTTGTAGCGGGAGATACATTCGGACAGGTAAACTGGGCCAGAACCGTTAAGGGCTTTATAGGCCAAAGTCAGCACTTTGAATTGTGCTTGGAAGCTAATAAGCAGCCAGTGGAGTTGGCATAGCAAGGGTGTTGTGCGTTCTCAGTATCCCACTCCCATGAGCAACCTGGCTGAAGAAATTCTCTGGAAAAACATTTGATTACATTTTTTTTCTTCTAGTTCTTTTTTTATCTGCTTCAAGTCATACAGTCCAAATATACATTAGAGAACCCAAGTAATCGTATTTACAAAGGTTAGCAGACAACTAGAGCAGTCATTTATGGGCTTTACCCATAATGGTGTTTTGATTCACCATGATTTCAGTCCTAATCAACACATATCAAATTATACTTTTGAATGGAAGACTTCAGAGATGTTCTGTTGAAGCCCTCTTGACTGAAAATTGTCTCAAACGGGTGCAGGGCTTGAAAGCAATCGTTTTGTACATTCATTTTGTTTTGAGAGATCTAAGGCAGTGTTTCTCAAACTCTGTTCCTCCAGGTGTTTTGGACTTTAGCTCCCAGAAATCCAAACCAGCTTACCAAGTGTTAGGAATTGTGGGAGCTGAAGTCCAAAACATCTAGAGGAGCAGAGCTTGAGAAACACCGATCTAAGGTATAGCTAGGGAAGGTTGTCACTCCTCTTGGGATATATCTATAACTTGTAGCTATTTTTTATAATTCTGAGGGCAGCTTTGCTGAATAATGGAAACATGCTACCACATGCTCTAAGACCTGTTTTATGCTGTGCCTCATGCTCCTGTTTTCAGGAGGCAATTGTGTATATTGGAGAAAAGTGTGTTTTGAATCACAGGCCAACACCTTGCAACATGTGTATTTTTAGAGGTTCCTTTTGAGAATGGAGCATGATAACTGGAACTGATGACTTTGAAATATGACTTTCTGAGATACTCATCTGAGAAATCCTTAGGGCAATTTCCTCTGTAATAGGAGGGAGAACATACCATGGGTGAGGTGCCCTTTAAATGTCCACTAAACATGCAAAACTCAGAGAGATGCTTATTTAAGAGTGATTTGCAATAGACAAATACTCATACAGTGAAGGGTGGCAACTCCTGTCTTCAAGTAATGATTAAGTGCAATGATCAAGTATTCATGACCATCCTTACATTTTTCTTCATATTACTTGATATTTGGGTCACAGACTCTTTATATGTAATTTTCTTGTCCTTGTTTGCATTGAATTTTCTGCTTTTCCACTTGTTATTGTCAATTTTATTTGTAAATTCTTCCCTTTCTTCAACTTCAATTCCTCTACCAGCCATATGAGTCATGATTTCCATCCAATTGACTCTTCCAAAGTTCACTGAATTTGATGGACAGCTCATTTGATTGATTTACATTTTTTGATTAATTAAAATGAATGTTTTGATAACACTGATGACTTTTATTTAATTAGCTACAGTCTCTTTAATGATTGATGTGTCATCACTGAACCCATTATTATGTGTATTGAGATTGTTCTCCTTTGTTATTGCATCCATTCTGAAAACATCTTGATTGACTCTAGAGCACTCAGAAACTTAAACTGCTCAGAATTAGAACTTTATATTTGCCTACTTACCCCACTCATATATTCATTGGTTTTGCTATATCCTGAAACATTGTCTGAATTGAAAGGGTACATTTCTGCCCAGAATTTCTGTAAATGTTGTGCAGACTCAGTAGCAAAGTATGGTCGGTGAATACTTAAGGAATGAGTGTGTGGCTTCATCAAGAGACCCAACGATACCAAGTAGACCAAATGACAATTGAATGGGGTTTTTTTGTTTGTTTGTTTTTTGAATAAATTTTATTGAGGTTTGTGTGTCTTTACAGTCCAGTGAAGAAATAAAGATTGAATGTTTGAACACACACCAGCTGTATAACCATCTGTAACCTAATCTCAGGGCATTCGAGGCTGAAGGAGTGATCCTACTTAGGAGCCCAGCTGAAAATTTAAAAAACCCTCTTTTATCCATTCTGGAAGACTCGGCATTATCTCTGAACCACTCAAACAATTACAGCATAACAGTTACAAACACATACATTTCTATGGATTATAATTTATACTGCTCTCTTGAAGGCACTGTGCTCCTCTCATGTCTCTGAAGTAAGCATTTGTTAACACTGATGCAGAAGACACTGAGAATGCTCATCTGGAGGAGTTCTGTCTCCAAGAAGCTCCTCCCCCCCCCCCCCATTGCTTTATAATAATACTTCCCAAAATGGTGCTCTGAATGATTGAGATTTCATTGTTAGTACAGTATTTTTCTCCCGACACAGAGCTCATCATTTTCAACCCAGTATCCTCTTTTTTTAATTTCCCTGTTGATCCACTGCTACAATACCTTTTAACTTTGAGCTCTCTCTTTAACCCCTCCATTTTTATCACTAATTTTTGTGTTTTTAAGTAATCTGCCTCACTTTCACTTGAGGACAGGAAAATTCTTCATAGCTCCTTTTTTTTTTTCTCCTCCTCAGAGACATATGGGTTGACAGCCTCTGAGAAAGATTTGTCTTTATTTTCTCATATCCCCTGACTGGCTGCTCTGCTATTAAGGGAACAGATTTGTCATACTTTTGTTCTACTTTTAACTTGTGATGTTGTTCTTTGTGTCCATGTTCACAATCACCTAATATTATTAAATCTATCTGCTGCTCTGCCCCTGTCAACCACCTCCACCAAGTCTGGCCTCCTTAATGAGAGCATTCAACACCCCCCCCCCCCCAATCAACTTGGTTGCTTCACTACATCGGCTATTGTTGCAAGTAATGACAGTGTGAATAAATTGTCAATATTTGCTTGAGATAGACTTGCAGTTCTGGAGGGACTCTTTAATTTTTTGCATCTCATAGACTTAGCATGGGGATTTGGTTAACCAGTTAAAATTCATGAGTAAACCAGGTTCATTTTTTTTAACCTGAAAAATTTTGGGGGGGGGTTGAACCCCTAAACCCCCCCCCCCTCGCTACAGGCCTGCCTGTGTTTGACAGAAAAGGGTAAATGTGTCTGGTTGATACAGTGGGGTTTAAAAACCTCTCAGAAAGGAGAAGGGGCTTAACAGTTGCAACGGAAAAGAAAATAAGTTGGCCCATGGGGGTTAAACACATATTAATGGATTGCTTTCCCATGCCATCCCGATAATATTTTAGCAGAGTCATCATAAATAGAAGTCTCCATACAACAATGCAAATAGGACAGCCCTCATGGTCATATGAAAGAGCAAAAGGGAGTAAACAATAGGCAAATATTTAACAAATTGATAATAAGAAAGAAGAAAGAGATCAACATCTCATAACCAGTTAATATGATCTAATAGGTAAACTGTGAATTTTAACTGGTGATCTAATGGATGAGTTATATTGAACAATCAACCCATGCAAATTAAAATGTTCGTTTACTTGGAAAGGTACAGTTAAATGTTTAAATGTCACTTGGAATCAGCTGCACCACAAGCTGAAATCAGGTAGTTTCCTGTGAAAGCAAAGGATGTTTTCATCTCACACAGATTTCATAGAAAAATAAACTTATATCAGAGATGTAGAAAAATTAGTCATTTGATAAAGAAAGTATTTTATTCAGCAGAGTACATAAATATTATTCTATTGATCATTTAGAATGAACATTATCTACACACAATATTCTTTGGTCCATGGCAGTATTTTTTTTCATATACAGCAACAAGAACATCAAGCATGCATCTAATAGCAAACAAGGACAAAGATGACAAAGCTTGTGTTACTGAAGTAAAATCTAGTTCATCAGAAAAAGATGTTTGCTACTTTTTACTTTTGTTATTTGAATATTAAAGTCTAATTGGACATCAACTATTTGCAGCTATTAGTTTTTTAGGTTTCAACAAAGTTGAAAATTGTTGACAATATAGCAATAATATATTTTGATCTATGAAGAAAATAATCAGTTTTTGTCTACTGTTCTAAGTGGGAAGGCAAACAACCAATCACTACAGCATAACTCATAAATCGATTACTGTTGTATAGAAACCCTTAAACTTCTTCCACTTTACAATTGAAATAACTAATGCTTCGAGTCAGCTTGTTTATGTAGTTAGCTCCTTGTGCCATTAAGTGGTACTATATATAAATATTCTTATACATATATTCTGCAACAAATTAGTTTTACAAAATAGTCAGCTTTTCCAAGAAAATCAAACTGAATAATGTTGGATGCGATTTAGAAAAAACTACAACATTTAAATAAGTTTTAAAAAATGGATTAGATCTTGTCTTAAGTCATATATATGTAGATTGGACTAATGAAAATCAATGGAACTTCAGTTTTGTCTTAACTCGTGTCTCATAGATTTCAGTAGGTCTGCTGGACATATGGTTAAGACTGAATCTAATCCAGTAACCTTGAGAAAAATCAAGTTGTCATCAGTGCTGGATTGGCTGGGACATATAATGCTGTGTCCACAATTATGTATCTATATATTTTAAGTTCATTCTTTTAAAAATATATTTTAAATAAGCTGATGAACTAATGCCTATTTTGTGTAAATAAAAATTTTCTCATAGGAAAAATGAAAGCTGTTTACAGTTTTATTCCTTACCAAAATGTAATTAAACTTTACATAAGAAAACTGGGTTTATATCCAAATGATTGTGTTTTTTTAATAACCATGTAACTACTTAATACTGCTGCACAACATCACATTTTAGTCAGCAGTACTGTGTTCATTGGCTTTTGCAATGTGTTGACATCTTGCACATGTAGTCCTCCAAAATGATCAATTTGGCTTATTGTTGTTACAACTTTTGCACACACATAGTCATTTGACTTTGGCTTTTCTGGTTTTGGCAGTCAAATTTATCTTATTGAAACTGACATTATGCTTGTGGACATTCAGACATGCTATTCTTTATATTGAAAATCAGTTTCCAAAATGGTTCCAAAGCCCCTACTTCAAATGTTTCCTTTGTATAACAGATTTGTATAACATATGACTTTGTGTTATCAAAAATCAAAAGAACTCTTTACATTATTACAAGAGCTTGTCTATGAATATAACCTATATTTTCAATGTCTTTTCATACCCATATTTTCTTTGCAGGTCAGGTCCTAGAGGTATGTGAATGGGGATTGTACAATAGTCTCTCTGTATCTTTGGACTGTGCCCATTCACATCATACACCAAGACTGCAAAAAAAAAAAAAAGGTGCAAACAATGAGGGTGGAACATACCAGCCACCTAAGGATGTGTAAGAATGACAAGGTTTTCACTAATCCTGTGACGATCAAAGCGATTCCAGTCAGGGATATGTTGACCCACAAAATGCAAGAGTGTAAAAGGATCAGAAACTATCCAAATGCTCAATATTTGTGAAGTTAGTTTTCATTATAGCCTGAATTTCAATGGGAATTTCAAATATTTCAATAAATTCAGCATAGTGTCTCTATTCTGCATGCTAATCAACCTTGTTAAAGGCAAAGATCCAACTGTCTAGCTGAGGTAAATTAGTATTATTTAATTATAAAATATTATTTATTTAATTAAGCCTCTGCAACCCTGCATCACTAGTGGAAAACAAGTCTGTAGTTCAGGAGTTATAGCTCTGAGTGCTTGGGTATGTAGTACACGAAGCATTCAAATTTCCAACTCAAATCTAGATGGAACTTCCTTGTCAATAATGGAGTTATGGAATAATTTCTCGGATATTCTTTTGTAATCCAGAATAATGTGTTTGGACAAAATGAAAGTTATTGTTGCTCTATTATGTTATAAACATGGCTTTTAAAAGTCTTAGAATTTTGCATGATGTCTTCATACAATTGAAAAATGAAGACATCTTGTATTTTAAGCTGTTTTGAAGAAGATTCTTTTGCTTAAATATCTGCTTCACCTTCTCTAGCAAGTGCTTCCAGCTGTTCTGGACTACAATTCTCTGAACTTGTGAACTGTTTCAGTGATGCTACGTAAAGCTGCTGAAGCCCCCAAATATCTGAAAAACATCAGATTGGGCAGGGCTGATCTAGTAATTCTGAATCTTTAAAATTATTTTCTAAAAACCTAACATATCCGTGAGTTGTGTATTTATTCCGTTCTGCTTCTTTATTCCAATGAAGAGATATTTGGGCAGGCAAGACAAATAAACTTGCCATCAAATACATGGAGGTCTTAAGGGAAATTAGGTAATATTTATATGTTTCTGTGATTCCTTCTAAAAACAAAAATATCTGTGCACAGAATTCATGGGCGCAATATTTCCTTGACCCCTACATTTCCTACAATACTTTACCTCTTGCTGAAAATGGCAAGCCTTCATTTTAATTCTTCCAATTCAGTCAGTAAATGGAGGTTCCCTCACAAAGAAGCACTCCAGGAAAGAAAATATTAAAAACACCAAGCTATTCAAGAGAAGATTGAATGAAATTCTTTGCCAACATAGTGACTTCCATATCCGGGATTGGAGTAGGGGGAGAGTGATGGACAAGCATTCATATATGGAGTCTGAACTCATATAATCCAGTCACAGTGGGAACTAAGGCAGAACAACCAGCTTTTCCCCTTTTCTTGAATTCACATGTTCCCCTGTTCAATAACTAGAACAACATATGTAAAGTTTGATGGAAAATATTGATAACTAATGTTACTTTTTACTGGTTCTTCTGTGAGATACTGATCTATTGAAAATGCAGACATTCAAAATTTAAAAGAACATACTCAGGAAAAATCAGATACCACTCTTACTTCAAAATAACTTTAACCACAAAAGGGCCATCATATGCAACAATAAAGAATTCCAAAATTGGGTTTTTTTTATCAGTTATCTGGAAGAGAACTGTGACAGACCACAAAAAAGAGGTTTCGAACTGTGTTTAATTTTAAACTGAAAAGCTCAGGGAATGGATTAGTTCCCCATGAATGTTCGGTGGTCCTTGAAAAAGAGACACAGAGACACACACACACATATGTACATCCCTTTCGTGTACAATCGGGTCATTTGGCTTGCGTGACAATTTCCAAATTTCTCTCGCTGGAAAATACAAATAAAAATGTGACATAAAATCTGGGTCCAACTCATACACCGTTAAGATGAGGCCATTATCATTAAACAGCATCATTTCAGAATCATCTGTTGAAACCAAGTTCCAGAAGCAGAAAGAGAACAAAGACGCATAGATATAACCCACAAACAAAAGCTTGCCTAAAGAATGTTGATGTTTCCATTCAAAGCATTCTTTTACATCACAACAAATTCCAGAGCTAACAACAAACTGACTTTTCAAGTTCAAACACTACAATACTGTAAAAATTAATACTATGCAAATCTGCACAAGTTGTTTCTAAATAAATCTCAGCCTACTTAGATGGCCTCCTTCAAAGGATGCTATGGGCAAACAAACAGAAATCTGAAAAAAAGATCAAGTAGTAAAGCAAGAGTCAAACTCCACATTAACTAGCACTAATGCGAGGGGGGAACAGAAAAGACTATAGTCAGCAAAAAGCCAAGCAGATAAAACTCCCCATAGAGCACAATTTATGTAGATTACTATTACCAATAAGCAGCAAACTGGCAATGTCTAACATTTATTTCACTAAATTACAGAATTGCTAATCATAGGTGCAAATAGGGATTGAATCAACATACAGAGAAGGCAGCATGTTCAAATTTACTAAAGAAAGCCTACTGCTTTGCAAGCTTCTTCCTGGCATGATGATTTAAACCTCTGTCCCCTTGTCTGAATTGGACTGGACAAAAAAGTCAATCCTGAGAAATGGCAGCAACAGATTTAAAGAATTTAATGTATAGAAAAAGGTGACAGGAATGTCATTGAATTCTCAAATTCCACGCTGGAGAGAATTTCACAGAGAAAATGTTGAACTAGAACCATGAATAAAATGTATGGAACAAGAAAAAATGTGGGAATAACAAAATGTAGTACTATAATCACCAGACACAAGAACAGAACATAATGACAGTGGGCATAATTCAGGTGAAGAAAAGCATTTCAGTGGAAGACTCATGCCTGCAACTTAATACTCTCCCTTAGATTGAAGAGGATATAGAAGTTATCAATTCTACCTACATTCCTTGGGCCTTGTCAACAAGAACTGCTTCTTTTAAGATGGATTAATTGGTACTTATTTGTGCCTTCAAACTGTGACAGGGACTTTCAGTGGCTTGCTTACTTTGGAAATTTGTATCATTGATGGTACAGATATCTGAGGTGACCTGTATTTACGGGGAAGAAATGGAACTATAATCAATTTGTAAAAAAATTAGAAAAGTTGTATATTGGGAATAACTGTGTTTTATTTCCACCCACTTGACCAATAAGTCACTATTGATTTGAAATAGGACAAATAGCAAGTAGTTGCATTCAATCAGATCTATAAAGATGAGGTGGGAATCACTGCAGCCCTTCCTGATGTTGTTAGACTGCAAATTCCAGAATACAAACTAACTTTTCACAAGGAATACTGATAATTGCAATCTGACAACTTCTGGAGAGTTGCATGATTTTCATTCCTACTATAAAAAGTATAAAATTAACTATTTGTGAGGGAAATAGGTGTGTTTTCATGCACAATTGTGCACAGATTTATGTACTACTGAAAAAGTCACTTTCACTTATTTGAGAAAAAAATATTTTTCTAAATGTCTAGTTGTACATTTAACATGCTAATATTGTTAACATGTATGTATCATGTCAACCTATGGGATCTGGACCATTTGTCACAATATTGCATGCAGAGATTGTTTTTTAAAAATCTGTATTTGCCCAAGAAAGTGCTGGAAGGATCGCTTAGAATTCATGTTATATATACTGCCAAATAAGCAGCAATTTTGTAATTTGATGTGGTACAACAACTAGACCAAAACGAAAAGAGAATCATATGTTTTAATTGGAGCATGTAGCTTTGGAATGAGGCCTGAGTTATTTTCAGATGGTTGTACACGTTTCTGAATTAACACTGTTTTCATCTTGACTTCATTACTCATTTAACATGCTTTCTTCTGGTGTGCATTACTGTATATAAAACTTTACAGCCAAAGTCTGTTTGCAGCCAAAGTTGTTTGGGCTGTAATTTCTAAATGCCCAGGTTGTAAAAACAATGGCAATTTCATTTGAAAATCCAACATTGTAAGACTGGTCCATGAAAAGTTAGACCAAGTGAGACTCTGTGGATGGGACTGTAACTCCCATAATTACTTACCATTGACCATGGTTATGGAAACTGCAGTCAAACATCTGAAAAGCCAAAATTTGCCCTACTTGGATCCACCAAGTATATTTGGCAAACACCTACCACCAAATTACACCAACTAAAATAAAGCATTCTCTTTCAATCTATATACCTAACTTCTTTTTTGGATAAAGGATCTTCAAAATTTCTGTTGGTCCTGTATAACAAACCCCAAATAAATTTTAAATTCATGCAAAAAAAATTATATGCAATTTGGAACCGATCAGCATGCAAAATCTGGAGATTTCAATTTGTTTTGTTCCCCTCTCACTAACCTTTCTCCATATCTTACTATCAAGAAACCATACTTCATTTGCATAATACCACATGATGTAAAATGTGTAACTCTTAAACATAAGTTATGCATATGCAAAAGAGTGTGTGTGCATTTCTTGGTTCACAAAAGTCTTTCAATTATAAGTTCTACAGAACATTGATACCTGCACATTACTATAAGACTGCTTACTCCTTCCACTGGTCCTGAACTTGGTTATGAAAAAGCATGTCAAGTACTAATAGGAGTAAACCAGAGGCCTAGATGCAACTGGAAGTATTTTGCACTATTTGTGGACTTCCTTCTTGAGGTTGACTGTGTCTACTGCACAAGAAAATAAATTGTTCTTGTTGAATTGTAAATGCACAGCTTTTAAAAAATCCTCCTGAGAGTTCTCTTGTGCTTTTCATGGCTTTTCTGCTTCCTGTAATTCATACTGTGGCAAATCTAAAGAGAAAAAGAAAGAAAGGAAGATTGTAACTAAATGTGGTTATACCCGGCAGCCTTGATGTTAATACCTTACCATCATTTGCCAAAGTCTTGTACATCACTAAAGCCAATGATTTCCGATGATTTAATTTCCTGGTATTACACTACTCTGTAAATTACACAGGTTCTCACATATGCACTTCAGTCTACCCCTCTCCCCCTTTTATTAAATGTGCCTAAGCACAAAAGATATAAAATTGAGAACTGAAGTTTATTTCAGAAATACCATCTCACTTTAACTGTCACATTTGGAGAACTGTTCACAACAAATTATTAGTCCAGGGAACATTTTATTTAAAATTATTTATTCCTCAATCTTCTTTGTAAGTGTGCTGGCAGTAAACAAAGTGGGAATATAAGCAGCCTTTTGGAGATGAGCTGGAAGCTCTAAATGGTGAATCCAATTGAATCCAGATTTTAATGTCCCCATCCTCACAACATAACTCTGGTTTTTTGTTCTCAAGAACCTGGGTAGATGAGAAAGTGGTTAGAAGTGTTGCTAAGAGGTTGAACAAACTTCACTAAAGATCTACAGATGCAAAGCACCCTAAAGGCTAATAGAGAATAGCAGCTCAGTGGAAAAATACTGGTATGACACAAAAGACCAAAGCAATGAAGTCTCAGTAAGATCATTAATTCCTTCAGGGTTTGTCAGCCTCCTTTGTCTGAAATGTATGCTTTCAAAAAGACAATTAAAAGGACCATGTGGGGTTGGGTTAGGTTGGCAAAGGTCAGCTTTCCCTGGAGTTTCTTTTGTTTGGCACCTTTAGCACATGCTGAGGTGCTTCAGGGATCACCACATGATCCTGTCTTCTTTAATAACTTCATTAATGACCAGAAGAAGGGAGTCAAACCACAGGTTAATTAAAAGTACAGATTATACTATATTGAGAAGAACCACAAATACCATTTAAGAGAATAAAAACAAAACAAAGAGTTTGAAATCTAGCAATAGTTGGGTTGAGCATCTGAAGTCTAGAAATCAATTATTTGAAGTTCACCTTTTAGTGAAGATGGCTTCTTTTATTTATGTATTGTAATCTATATTTAAAAATATGACCTGCCCTTCTTAAAAATGGTCATTGTGTGGTCCCAGTATACAACAGTCCAGAAGTATATCATTAAAAAATACACATCTATCAGCTAGTAAAGATACCAGATCCTGTCTTCTCCTGGAAGTTAAGCAAGGTCAGCCCTGGTTGTTACTTGGATGCAAGACCACTGTTGCCCAAATTTGAGAGAAGGGACATAAAAATTCATCACTGCAAATTCCTTGCCTATGAAAACCCATGGAACTCATAGGGTTGCCATAAGTCAACAGGTGACTTCAACACACACACACAATCAATTAATATAAATGGAAACGATACCACCGTTTCAACTGCCCCACTCAGTTACAGTTCTGATGGTCTGGAGCAAAAGAAGTCTCCAGAACTAACCCATGCGAATACCTCTATCTTCTAGGGGGGAAGTATTCCATAGCTGGTACTGATTCCATTAGTAACCTGCTTTAGAATAATATAATCATAAAATAATAGAGTTGGAAGATACCACATGGGTCATCTAATCTAACATCCTGCCTCAGCAATGCTGTCAAAGACCTGTTTAACCTCTGGAATGTGGAAGTGGCCAGGGCAATGGACATGATCATTCCCAAGAATTATTCTTTTGTGGAGAGGACCCAAAACAGCTGGCAGTGATGAAATGGGTGAGATGGATAATTAAGAAGTGTTGGTTGGAGTTACACTTAAAAATGCACCTGTTCCAACTTACAAACAACAGCTTAAGAACAAACCTACTGGACCTATCTTGTTTGTAACTTGGGGGCTGCGTGCATAGGTATTTCAAAAATAGAAAGTACCTGAAATCCAAAACACTTCTGGCTTAGAGCATTTAACTTTTACAAGCTAAATTCTGGTAGAGAAGAGCCAATCACTGGTTACGTCACCACCAAAAAGACAACATTGAAATATATGGCTCCTTTGGGGGAGTCACTTCTGGGGAACACAAGGATGGGGACCTGGCAACTTGTTCATTTTTAATTCCTGCTTGCCAAAAGAGGACTTATTTACATATATATTTAATAGTAAACATGGAAATATTGTTTGCTGATTATATGTTGTGGAAAAGGGAGGGAAATTATGAGATTCATGGAACAGCCATTGCAGTGGTACATAGTAGAGGAAACTATGTAAGAGACCACAATGGGAGAAGAACCAAAAATAGGATGTTGGTTGTTCCTAAGGTATCATCTCTTCCAAACAGTCTGCACACTCATGGTAACAGTTTCCCTGGTTTGTAAACACTACTGGTGAATGTCAGGTTGGTGAATAAGAAAAAAAACCTGCAATTCAGAATTTGCTTCTAGATTATCATGATGACCTGGCCTGTATCTTAGATATCTGGTTAAATGAGGCTAAGAGTTTAATCTCTCTCTCAGTTTTCCCAACTAGATTTCTCTGTGAAGCAAGAGGCAGGATGGGGAACTGTAGTTGCAAAGGCCTATTGTGATTCCATCCCTTTAACACAGTGCCCTATTTCACAGTCTGCAGATGGTATCTGGCTACATTCATGCGGCTGGGCAGTGTCTGGACTTTGTCTCCTGTGCTGAGTGGGATGATAAGTGGGTTAACTTTCCATTGTTCCATCGTCACAGAGAACCACTATCTGGTCAGATTCAGACTCACTGGGATTCTTCTCTTAAGAGGGTCCACTGCAGAAGGCTTATGGGTCCAGATGGATTTCTGATGGTTCTTGAATTTCCTTTTGCTTTAGAAATATCCCAATTTGCTTCTTGAACAAGGCAATGGCTAGGGCAGTGGATATGATCACTTCCAAGCATCTCCTCTCCCAGAGCAGATGCTGTTTCTCTAGTGAGCTGACAGCAATGAAATATAAGGTGATGACTAGAGCAAAGTTGGCAGACAACTCTGAATGAATCTCTCAGAACATGGCCTAGAACTTGAAGGACTAGTCCATTTCAAAACCAGTTCAATATGGCTTCAGACCTGATTTTGCTATAGAGACGGTCTTGGTTGCCTTGATGGAACTGAACAGGAGAATATTGATCCTATTGGACCTCTGAGCAGTATTCAGTACCACTGACCATGCTATCCTTGTTGCAATAGATCTTCTGGCTGCTTGTCCGAATCTGGAAACAAACTGATGGTTCATTATGATCTATACCTATAACTTTTCTCATTGTCCATTTGTGGTCATTGTCTTTCTTTTCTTTCTATGAAGCTGCCTTTGAAGTCAATTTGGAACCTTTGGCTGATATACTGCAGAGAAGTCGCACTGCTAACGTGGGCAGGTTTTAAGAAGAATGTTACTCCCTTGCTACAAACAGATCTGTTGTTTTCCAGTCTGTTTCCAATCACAAATGACTTTGTTTAGGTTAGATCCTTTCTCTCTTTATATCCGACCAGACCATGAGATCCTCTGGAGAGACACTTCTCCCATTCCTCCCACTTTTACAGGCACATTTGATGGAGATGTGAGAGAGTGCTGGCACAGTGGTTGTCCCTATGCTCTGGAACTTCCTTCCTATGGAGACTACAACAACCCTCTCCTCGCTTTCCTTCTGTCAGAAAAGTGAAGCCCTTCTTGGCTTGACAGGCACTGAGAACAGTATGATTTTGAAGAACTTTTAAAAAGATATATTACTTTTCACTATCTTTAAACGGAGATCTTTAATTGTAGGTTATACATGGCTTTTAATATTGCTGATCAATTAATTCTATTTTAATAGTAACCCTTTGTGTGTTTTAACTGTACTGCATCTGTTTTAATTAGTAATTTGGAACCCACCTTGAACCACAAATCTGGGGAAAAGGCAGGAGATTACTAAAGTCTAGAATATTCTGCATTGTTCTGTTATACAAAAGAAAATTTATAAAAAAGAAAAGTTGGTCTCCTCGTCTGGGAAAAAACACAGACACACCACATATCATAGTTTTCTAAACTTTGAGTAAATCAGTATATCTCCTTGCCTTATATAAAAGCACTCACATCTGCCATGGTCACAATTACAAAATTGTGCACAGCAGCAAAAAAATAAGCTATTGGCAGTCCCATTGGCAGGTTTACTGTTTTCTTGTCATCCGTAAACCATGAATCTAACATCAATGTGATAATACTGATTCCTAAAAAATGCATCTATTGTTCACAATTTCTAGCAACAATAAAACCTTGAGATAAAAGATAGAGCTTTCCTTTTCTTTGTATGTATTTTTTCTCCCATGAAGAAATGCCAAATATATTTATTTCTCAAAAACTATTAATGGCACAAACAAAAGTAGTATTTAGAAAGCTGTGCAATATTAGGGCAAGATCATAAATCTATGGCTTGCACTAAAAAAAAGAGAGAAAAATTAAGTAAAATATAAAATACATTAGTAATATACGCATTAACATTATTTAAAAATACAATTAATTTATGGATTTGAAGCCATTTAAATACAGTAAACACAAAAAGATAAAAATCAAGAAAGCAACAGAGAATTGCCTTGTAAGAGAAAGGAAACAAGATAATAGAACTTGGACAGACCAGATGAGCAAATGTAGGGTATTATAGGCCATAACCAGGACTTTGAACTGTGCCCAGAAAGGTACTGGAGGAAGTGGAGCTACTGCAACAAGGAGGTTGTGTGTCCCCTGTAACGACCTATGTTAATATTCTGGCTGCTGTTCTTTGGACCAACTGAAGCTTCTAGAACAGTGGTTCTCAAGCTGGGGTCCCCAGATGTTTTGAGCCTATAACTCCCAGAAATCCCAGCCAGTTTACCAGCTGTTAGGATTTCTGGGAGTTGTATGCCAAAAACATCTGGGGACCCCAGGTTGAGAACCACTGTTCTAGAACTTCCAGGTGGGTTGGGAAAGTCGGTTTTAGCCTCAAATCTCAATTTATATCCATTTGGGTCAAGTATATTTCAAAAATAATGGACTTACATATCTAA